CCATATATGAGACTCTCCAATCATCACTGCAAAAGTGATACAGCTTTTGGCTCTGGTTTGGCTTTGTGAATTATGCCTACACCAGGGAGCAAGAATCCATCTTCCTATCAGGCACCCTGTTGCTGCTAAACACCATTAATGTAATGATCCAAGCCATTAATAATAGTGCACACAGTTAATATATGCCCAACCATGCAAAAATCAGGCAGCTTTATTATTCTGAGGAATAGAGGAAGAAGGACAGAATTTGTGAAGGTGCAGAGGCTATGACCTGAAGCAGTTTCAGTGTACCAGGATGCCTTGTGAGGTTCGTACTGGCTCAGTGTCTAGATTCAGCTCTTGGCTTGGAAGAGGACCTGGAGGGCTGCAAAAATTAAGGATTCATAATTTTTCCCCCTTTGCTGTTGCTCACAGGTCATCCATGAGTCAGCTTTGGAACAAAGTGCAGTCATAGTGGAAATTAGGCTCTGAAGAGTTCTGTAACTGGTTTAACTGTGTATGGAGCCACTTTATGCTGATTTCCTCCTATGAAAATCTGTATTCTTTTGAACATTGTGATCTAGGTAATGTTGATAATAGTTAAACAATTTAGCAGGGGCTTTCAGAGATAATTTTTTATAATCTTTAAAGATGAAAAGAGCTATACAAGAGGAATATATTAGTAATCATTTGTCCCCCTATTTTCAAGTGGAATTATATTGTGGTTAGATTTTTTTGAAGTCTGATAATGAAATATCCCTTATGGTATTAAAATAATGAATTCATATTTTTGAACTACAGCAGCTCAGAGTAAGAAAGGACCAGTAAGAATGGTACTTCTGAAATTTAAAATTCAAGATGTTCCTGGGAAACTGCTTCATATGTTTCCTTTCCTAAGCTAATGGGGCAAGGATGATAGGATGATTGTTAGCAGCCAGCTTACATATAAACTGATGATGTGCCTTAGTGTTGATGCCAGCACCTCACAGCATCACAAGATCTCACTGACTGGATGATTAGCATGTTGCTTATTTCGCTTGCAGCAGGTTTATTGGAGAGAGACAGAGGGAGAGAGATTCACTCTGAAAATCAGTACACTGGTTTTGAGGAGGCACATTAAACAATTTAAACTAGCACTGCCTTCTAGCAATTTAGTTGCTTCCCTGCTGCAATATCTCCCAGTACTTTCTAAATATTGTATGAGGTACTTAAAGATGAGGACACAGCTGTTGTGAATATCTATATCGATGAATCATTATTAATGACATTGCTTACTGACAGGGTTCTCTAGGTGCCTATTGTACCTGACTCAAATGAGACTGACAATCCCTTTAAAAATACATCGGTTCTTTTCACTCCTTACTTTACATAGGCTTATCACACATTATTAACCCTGTTATTCTTGGGCAGACTGTAATAAATGCTCTAGCACTTTTCTCTCTCCTGTGGCTGCTGCAAAATCTGCTTTGGCAAAGAGTGACTGAAACATATCTTTCAAATTAGAGGGCTAAGAAAGATAGCTAGAAATTTAGCTTGTCCTGATCTTCACCGTAATCACCTTTATAGCACTCTTTACAGTTGGTAATGCTCTATAATACCTTTACATTTACTTCCTGATACCCTCATAAGCCACATAGTGCTGTCAGGGACTAGATTTCTCAGGGAAAGATGTCATAAGATTGACACTAAAAACATTATATGTCTCACCAGGCTTGTGGAAGCTAACAGAATTTGGATATTTTCCAGGAAAGATATCCTGTGTAGATTATATTTAAAGCCACCCAAGAAAATGAAAAAAAAATCATAAGAAATATTTTCCTTTTTTTTACTGAAATTTCATTTCTTTGGAGATTTTAAGGCCTCCTCTTATTAGATTCTATAGAATAAAATATATGGTGTTTTATTGCCTGCTGTCTAGACTAATTTTATGACCATCATAGGTCACAATGCATTCAGGTAGCTCACTGCCATTTGTTATTTGCTTTAGGTTACTGGCTGTATATACACTTTTTATTTTATTTTACTTATTTCTATTTCAAGGAATTAAGCTGAGTTTTATTGAACCAAATTAAGCTCTTGTTTCTGTCCCTATTTCAAGCTCCAACTTGTTTTTGAAAGATTACACTCCTTAAATTTTTATAGTGCCCAAAAAGAGTGTTACAAGGTAAATTATTTTCTGTAATGCTGGGGAGTACACAGAACTGATTTAGTTAGATTTGATGCCAGCAAAAAGGAAAAGGGATACGGGTTGAGGAAACTCCAGTGACTGATATTTGATCTTCCACCATTTTTACTTTCCCTTCAATTGCTATCTTATAATTGACATTTAGTGTGTTTAGAATCTGGTTCAAATTGTTAGTTAGTTTAATGATTATGTATGCATCACTTTTATGTGTCAGATTCACTGTGCCATATTTAAAATGTGATCCTTTATAGCCAAAGATTGGCTTTGAGTGCCTTTGTATCTTGAGATTTTACAAAGAAGAATTGGACTCCTTTCATAGAGCTAATCATTTCTGCTCATTTCTCTTCTACAGGAGAATAAAAGCTCTTCATGCAATTAGCTAATTGTTCACATCATTATAGAGTGCAGTCCCAAGTGTTATTTACTGAGCAAGAACAGTTTATCTCTCAGTTTCATGCAAATGCTCTATCATGGACATTTTAAGCTACATTAACCCAGAGGAACATACTTGTCTTTTCAGGAAGGATTTGAAAGAGTAAATACTAATGACCTGAGCGTCAAAATCTTATGGGGAAATATAGCATGATCTATGAATAACTAGGACCTAGAATTGCATACAAACAAAAAAGGATCAATAATTTGTAGAAAAAGGAGTCGTTCTGAATCATGTATCAAATGTACTTAGTACCTATTCAAAGGTGAGAGACTGAAGTGAAAAGATAGAAATATACTGACTGAAATATAGATAGCAGAATTGGAGGTTGACAGAAGGTACTTTGGCAGGGAACAGAGAGAGAAAGCGTAATGGTCTTAGTTGCACAAGCACGAGCACTTTTGAGTACTTCAAGTCTCTCATAGTAACTAGAAAAAAATATGAAGTTGTTTTTTATATTCTGAATAACTGATCTCACCATTAGAGAGCTGTGTTCTTTGGGATGTTCTTTCCTTCTGCTCAGAGATTTCCCAGACTATTACTTTTTTTAAAGATACCACATAATTCTCTGAAAAAGCTTAGTTTTAATAAACTAACATTTCAAAACAAAAAAGGAGATTGTATCACAAGTCTTTACTCTGGTGGAAAATTACAGAAAACAGAAGGAGATAGTGCAGCAGAATTTAAATGTTAATTTTTAGAGACTGTTTTTTTCAATTAATCTATTCAGAACTTCTGAGAAGACCTGCTGTTGAAAACATAATGAACCAAGTTCAGATGCCTGGCATATAAGGGAACTTACCAAAAATAGCTGGACTTAATTAGAAAAGGGACTCACACCCTTCAGTTTTATTTATAGAATTTTTCAGATTTACAGATTTTTTTAAATCATCAGATACAGGTATTATACTTTGGAAAGGAGGAAAATAACTCAAATTCTTCCCTTGACAACATGTATGTGGAAGAAAGACCTATTTTGCCATTCGTGCAATCTTAATATATTTTTATATTTTGAAAAAGTAAAAGGTACCTCCTGTTGTTGATAGCTATAGAATTATGTGTTGATTTAAAATGAAAGTATGTTGTGGTATGAATTGTTCTGACCTCTTTGAAGATCTTTTACCTTTTATTTGCCGACAAACTACATTTCTCATTGTCCAGCTGAAGCAGTATTTTTCTCAGAAAGTTGTATTTGTTTAGCATCAAATAGAATTCCAAATTCCTTGATGCTGTAATGTACAAACAAGAGCAGCTTTAACTGAAAATGTAAACACTTATCAGCAGTTTGTCTGCGAATCCTAAGTTATCAAAAATGGTAGAAATCTAGGAGTTTCCACAGAAATTCCCCAGAATGCGTGAAGAATTCCATTACGGACCTTAACTTCAGATGTTTTGATACACTCTCTCTACATCCATAAAGCAGGTTCACTTGGTATGACTTCAGATATGATGAATAGGATATATGCTGCCAAGGCCCTTAAGCACTTAAACCCCTCCATCTATTTAATTAAATGGTTATTTTTACAAAAGTTGCCCCTGCTTTTTTTAATTCTCTCATTATATGTTTATAGCTCTCCCCCATCACCAAACATGTACACTAGCTGGTACCACTGAAAATAATAAACAGTTTTTACAATTGTATTTCACTGTTGAGACTTAGGGCCATTAAAACCAAGTACATTCTGGTTAATCCAATAAATTCTAATTGGTTTTATTGGTTTGGGAATATAGTAGAAATTGAAGAGGTTGGAGAGGTTTTGGGTTTTTGATTTTCAGTCCTTTGTAGGCAAAAGGGATATAAATCAATGTCAGAGCACAAGGTTTCTTGAGAGCTGTAATGTATAATTATAGCCTAGTCTATGCATGGTCTTCCCAAATAGCTAATACATGCATGATTGGTTAATGGTTGAAAGAAATTCAGATTTAATGCTTTAACCTTTTACCTGCAAGAAAATTTAAAATGCCTCATGAAGTCCTACAGAAGAGAGCACTGTTAACTTTAGAAAGCATTTCTTTGGGGTACGTCTATTCAGTTGAATCTGCACTGGCATGTCTTTCCACATTTTTATCACCTGCATAAAATTTAAGAAAACAGCTCTGTGTATTATAGATGTCTGAAGCGCCTGTGGTGAAAGAACGCAGCCTCCTTTAGGTAGGTGAGAGGGAGGTACTTCAGGGACAACTCAGCATGGCTACTGCCTGTGGTGTAGAGCAAGAAAAGCAGTTTCCCAGTCTCTCATTGGCACTTATGCATTCCACACTTTCAAAGCGTCAGAAACTCTTTCTTTCTGTCTGTCTCAGATTGGAACTTTTGAAAGTGAATTTTACTGAAAAGACACGCTATAACAAATAGGCCATGTGATTGTGTTTTCTCCTGTCTACTCAGCTGTATTTCTATAACAGAGAATGTCAGCTAGTACAGGGCACCAGCTGTTCCAGAAATCTGGAAATCCTCGTGTTTGTGACCCCGAGCTGTCCAACTGGCAGTTCTATCCAGATCTGCGATTTCTGAAAGCACCGGGTTCCCGTCTCCAAGGCAGCATACACGCAGGGCTGAGTTCAGACCAACAGACCTTAGAAGCCCTGGGTACTGCGTAAACGTGCAAGAAAACTGGCATGAGGCCATCAGAGCTTTTCCTTTTTGTCAAGAGAGACGGCAACGATAGCACAATAAAATTCTGCTGAATCAGCATTTGCTAGTGGAAACCTCTTTTGTTTAAAAGTTCCCAAAAAACTTTACCTTCAGAACTGTTAGTGCACTTAGCCTAGCTAATGTTAATATTTTGGCCTCGTAACGTAGCCTCTCGCTTCTATTTTTTGCAGAGATTGACAAATTAAATCAGGTTGAAACCTGCTAGCATGTTGTATTGGAGACTGGAAACAAAATAATAAACTTTCTAAAGCCATTTTTTGCTAGTTTTATTTTAATCCAGGTAACCTGTATTCCTCTACTTCTTCCCACTTATCCGGGAATCTTTCCTGATATTCTTTTTTCTTGAAAACATAATCACCTAAGATTACAAGACTTAACGGTCATTTTTCTCCCTCTCTTCTGTATTACATAATGAAAGCTAAAATTATAAGTGAGGAGACTTTTTGGGGAAGGAGAAGACAAAAGATAATATTTCCACAGGTTCCCATATCCCTGTCAGAATTCATTGTTAAGTTTCACCACCTGTAAGGGCTGTCAATATTTCCCTGCTTAGTAAATTGTTTACATGTTTCTGACCATGTTTTTTTATCAGTTGGCCTGAGACCACTGACTAATTAATTTACCTCTCTTTCCACAAGGGGGCATATCGCAGCTCGCACATCCATCTCACACCCCGTGCGTCAACAACGTCTGAATAACACAAATCTGTATTTTTTACCTCATCTGTTTTTGCTGTAACTCTGCCTTAGTTTCCCTCTTCTTTTGTCTGACTCAGGATTGTTTCTTCTCTTTTAAGAGTGAAAATTATTTTCTTTCATGCACTACTCTGATGCTGTGTATATATGGAAAATGTTAACAGGCCCTGCTACATTTGACAGTGGAGTATATGATATTAATTTACTTAATTTAAAGCATTCGATAACAGCCTTGGGTTTTTTAGGTTCCTCAGAAATATTTAGAAGAGTCCATCGAAAAGGCTCCTAGAACTTTGTGGGACACAGAACTAGCAGGTTAGAAATAAGGCAAATATACATCACAGAATCAGAGAATCACAGAATGGTTGAGGCTGGAAGGGACCTCTGGAGAGCATCTAGTCCCACCCCCCTGCTCAGGCAGAGTCCTCTAGAGCACATTACCCAGGATCACATCCAAGTGGGTTTTGAATATCTCCAGGGAAGGAGACTCCACTACCTCTCTGGGCAACCTGTTCCAGGGCTCAGCCACCCTCACAGTCAAGAAGTTTTGCCTCAGGTTCAGATGGAACTGCCTGTGTTTCAGTTTGTGCCCGTTGCATCTTGTCCTGTCGCTGGGCACCACGGAGAAGAGACTGGCCTCATCCTCTCGACACCCTCCCTTCAGATACCTGTAGACATTGATGAGATCGCCTGTCAGTCTTCTGTTCTCCAGGCTAAACAGGCCCAGCTCTCTCAGCCAGATTAATCCCCTGCAAAGTTCTTTTTATTCCCTGGAGTCCTGCAAAGGACAACCAGTTGTTTGAGTTCCCATTCTGGCCATAGGTGAAGGAAAGAATCCAATAAAAATGAAAGTTGTTTAGGAAGGTGAGGCAGAAAAGAGCAGTAAAGGGGTATAAAATGCAGTGAGAAAATCAAGTTTTTGGTGATACAGAGGTGGAGACAGATGACTTGACAATGAGGGAATACGTAGAGGAAGGGAGAGATAGAAAGTCTTTTAATATTTCTTAAAAGTGACTGTGAGTGATTTATGGGATGTTCATGGGGAAAAAAGCAAGCCCTAAAGGCTCAAATGTAAAATGAATCACTGAATATCTCATAGCTTACAGCCCATATCTTTAGGTAAAAGTTGGACAGGGTTAATGGACTAATGGTTCTGGAATTCCTCAGACTAACTACATAGATGTAGAGGGAAGCTTCTACAGCTTGTTCTGGGCCCACAAGATCCTGTGTACCTTGGTGCAACCGGCCTTATGTGATGCTTAACTCCTTCGTTTCAGCTGAAGAAGTGTGTGTCCAGAGCAGTATGAGCCAACAGATTGTGAGAAGCAGCACAGCAGAGCGGTAGGCAGACTACAAAAAAGACAGACTGTACAAAGACTGCACACTGATCCCTGGAAAATAGCAGATGAGACAATGATAAAAAATTAAAGAGATAAAATGTGGTTTAGTGACCAGAACTAAGAAAAACAAAATCAAAACATGGTACAGTTGCACCAAAGTAAAGTAATCATAAAGCAAAGGACAGCTGAAAGAAACAATGATAGTAAAACAGAGCAGAACCCATAAAGCTGAATTACCTTCAAAACAAAGAAAATCAAAGTAAAATAAGAGATGTATGTGATACGGATGATGCAGTCAAAACTAAATAATGAAGAACCAGCAGCAAAGCACACCTAACAGCAATCAAAAGTAAGTATCTGTAAAAACATGTAAGAAAGACAGAATAGGATAAACTGTGACAGTTCCTCCATACCATTCTCCCTCATTTTATTACACAATCGTTGTTGAGAAAATTTTTTAAATATAAATTATGGCTTCTAAAATTGTCATCTAGACATATCCATTGGCATTACTTTAGCAGTTACTTCAGCATCCAGCATCTATTCAAACTTGCATTTACCGAAAAAATTTTGGAGGATACTACTCAATATATTTCCTTTTTAATTTGAAATTATATCTTCTTACTATTCTTCTTCTAGAATGGGAATTTCCAATAGCAATATTCAGTATATGAGGCAGGAACTGCAGGACCTGGGGATATCAAATTTGGATTAAATTTTCCCCATGAAGATAATCATACACTATATATGACTCAATCCATTAAAAATGCTGAATAATCAAGAATCAGAACGTGAATTATATCTATAATAATAACAGTAACAACAACATATATTTTCCAGTGGCTGGGTACTTAATATGAATGCATGGTAGCACATCTATAAACATATACATACCACACACTCCCTCATAAACAATTTTGTTCATCAGGAAACAAAGAATCTTTGAGTATAGCTGCAAAACAACCAAGAAACTAAAGAAATAATTTTATAAATTTCATCTTCAAAATTAAAACTGAAAGCTCTATCAATTTAATTGCAGATACCATTAGTAGATGAAAAGTTTTAACGGGAATGTATTTCTGTTAGCCAGGTAATCCAGTTTATGAAGAGCATACATTCATTTTGCAATGTCATTGTTGGTGACACCCATGTTGGATTACCCGTGCTAGGCTGATCTAGTGCATTTTGCAAAAACTCTAGCTACTTTTCATACAGCATGAGGAGTGCGTTGCCTTCATACAGGAATTTTGACGTGTTTATTGGTTTAACCTCAGCAGCTATACTTCAAATTTTATTAGCCCTTATTTCTTAACAGTGAGGAAAACGTATATTCAGTCTAGAAATGATTATATTTGCCTCTAAGTTTTAGAAAATCAATCTAGACACGGTATAAGATGTGGGGAAGCTGCGTACCTAAGCATGATCCCCAGCCCAATCCTAATCCTCTAGATCAGAAAACTTGGCAAAATATGCCACAGGTGTGTTTTGGCCCGTGAGCCTGCATTTCCTTCATTTGGAAACTGGATTAGGAGTTAGGAATGACGCATACATCAATTATGGTATGTATACTTGTCATCAATTTAAGTCGCTCCTAGGATGTATGCTTTGACCTATAAGTGGTCTTTGGTCCGTTAGGTATTAGGGATCCTTTGTGTCTCATATGAGACATCTCTTTCATTTAATCAAGCCTTTCCACTTTTCTAGGATGACTTTGCTCATTGCAAGTACAGAAGCAGTTTGCTAAGTATGTAAGATGCTAGTCACCCATCCTAAATATTAAGTTCTGCTGCATTTTGTTCTTTTATTCCATATTAGGAAGGCATCAATGTTGATCAATTTTTTTTTAAACAAGAATCAATATTTCCCAGGAAAGGAAGGACTCTTAAAATCCATTTTCCAACTATATCTGTTCATTTAAAATGATCCAGTGTCATTTTAAGGTGACAGTCCAGTTTTTTTCCATTATCCTGGCCTAAAAGGATAGCTGTAAATCAAACTCACGGCAGAATTTGAACCAGCTGACTTTATGAAAAGGTGATATAAACCTCAAGTGAAAAGACTTCAGAGAAATTCAAAAACAGTTTTATAGAACATTCATTACAAAGCTGAATTATTGTTTAATTTACTGTAGTTATACACAAACGTACTATACCTTCACTTATTCAATATGAAACCAAGAACAGAGTTTGGCCTATAGTGTTAAAATAGTCTCACTGCAAACGAAATATTTAATTATAAAACAATCATTGAATAAAAATAAAGGCTCATCTGTACCTAAGCCTAAAGGGAAATGCTTAATTCAATATACCATCAGGAATTTCCCAGTTATTGGTCTGAATGTGGAACCTTATTAACAGCTTAATCTCCTAGTCTTTAAAAAGCAGAATATTGCAAACATAATTTATAAAGTTTATGCTCTAACAGAGAAAGATATATATTAAGCTATGCCTTTCATACAGAGGCTTTTTTTTTTTTGATGTGGAGTCACAAACTCATCAATTTACTATCGCAATGAAAATGCATTTACATTTAGGGTGCTCAGGAGTTTACTTCTATACAACTGATTCTCATGTTAGAGGTCAGCGCTTTTAGAGTTAATGCAATAATGGCTTCACTCATTTTCAGCTTTTGAAAACTAATGCAAGATCCTTAAACATTCTGATTGTATAATTCCTCATGCTTAGTATGTGTTGTAGACTTCAGAGATATCTAAATAAAGTTTTATAGAACATTCATTACAAAGCTGAATTACTGTTTAATTTACTATAGTAATACACAAATGTACTACACATTCACTCACTCAATATGAAACCAAGAACAGAATTTGGCCCATAATGTTAAAATTGTCTCACTGCAAATGAAATATTTAAATATAAAACAGCCACTGCATAAACATAATCTGCAGCCAGG